TTAGCTAACACCTGCAAAGTGCAGAGCAATATTATTAACCAGTACTTCTGAGCCATTATTTCCATCATTGCTCTATTTGTGTCTCAGCATGTGCACACCAAACATCCCCCTCAACAGAGACAGCGAGACAAAGTCCCTCAGCACTCATGAGCCGCTTGAATGGGTTAAAACAGGGGAGGATGATGGAAGGCATTCACTACCCAGAGCATTCTGTGCAAGAAATAATAGGAGAAGAATAACAGCAAGTGACAGCAAGAATAAAGCACAGATGGACGGCATAAATCAACCAGTTTTAATGACGGTGTGAAGGAATTAGCCAGGACAATCTGTCTGGAGAGTCAGTCATTTGATTTGAGCTAATGAAGTGGGTACATGCGTTTTGAGAAGCATCTAGTGTTGCTAAATTGCAGCTCATCTTACCTCTTATACAGTAGAAAGAAAACACTGTGCCCAGCGAAAGTTCACTTTCACGGTCAGCAGACCGTGAGTGCCAAACAGTGCGACATAGCCGAATCGAGAGGAAGCGCGTGTTATTTACAGAAATGACAAAAGTGCAGCATCAAAGGGAGAAATCGAGAGGATGACAAATAAGAAAATAGAGGGAGAATTTGAAGACATATTGGAAAAGCGGGTTGGTGAAACACAAGACAGATATGTCGGCCAAAATGAAGGCTTATTTAACAGCAAAGACCCTGCTGACAAATGTGAAATTAGTTGGAGGCGTTTCTTCCCGTATGCTCAGACTCACAGTCAGACTATACCAAGCTTAAGGAAGTCTTCCTGGCTTCATTAATTTTTAATTTGCCAATCGACTAACTCAGACAAAAAGAAGAACTTTCTCTAATATGTTTTTCCTATTATGCCAGAGGATGATATAATCGTAATTGAGGCAGGCTCTGCAGTGCTTACTTGACCCTGTAATGTGAAACAAAGGGGTAGTTTATGTGATACATTTGTTAGTCAAAAACCTGCTGTTGGTTGAGCTTATATAATGCTTTCAATAGGTTGTTTTTCGACGGTGTACATGCTCAAGGTTGAGTCTTTATAACCATCCTCCACTCCTTCATAGTTCTGTGTCCGTGTTTTAACTGTCCACATATCTACCCTTTCTTCTCATCTCTCTCTCTGTCTGTCGCTGTCCTTCTCTCTCAGAACTGATCGACGGCACCCCCACCCTGAAAATTAACCACGGCTCGGGTACATTGGTCCTGCAGTTGCCGGGCAACGTGAACGTAGCGGATAGACGGTGGCACAGACTGGACGTGAGGAGCAACAGCAAAGTAAGTGTTCACCGTTAGCAAGCGACTGACTGCTGAGCCCAGCCATCTTCCTCCAATAATACACCTCAGCACTTTTGTACAAGTCAAAGTCTTATCTCTTCTGAAATCATCCAAAAGGGACAGTGGAACTGTGGTGGCAGCTGTTAGCCAGGGTTTACTCAATCCCAGACATTGTTTAGTGTGCTAATTTGTATTCAGTGTTGCCAGGACTGTTTTAGATTCAGCAGCTACTCTGTTGCTGCTAGGCTCTGTAGTAGCGCTGGCATGTAGTCTTGCCGTGGTGCAATTTGCCTTAGGGTCAGTCTGAAATTGCTTGAAATTATAACGCTTATTGTTCGATACAAACAGGACGCAAGCGTCCTGCTGGGTGTGAAGGGAACATTGCAGGTTGGAGCTTTTAGCATCTTGACATGCTATGTGTTTAATATTACCACGCCTGAGGGTTTAGCCTCTACAGAGAGTGGAGAAAGAGGGTGAAGTGTGAGGAAACACAACACCTTTTTTTGTTTGTTGCTTCTTCCAGCATTGAAGATCTCAGAGAGAAAGAGCTCTTGACTTGTGTTTCTGTATAAGCGGACATCTAAGGCTGGAATACACTTAATGGCTTTTGCCCTGATTTACTGAAAGTCAGAACCAGTCTACAGATATTGGTCTGTCGTAGTTGACGGATTTCACAGAAAATCAGGTAGTGTATGATTGGAACAGAATCTGATTTTTTAGTTTCAGGATATCAAAGATTTGTATTATTTTGAGCCAATTTTAGGCTTTACGCTTTAAAAAATCTATGAAAACATCGTAAAATTAATCCATATTAATCAAGCAGTTTAGAGACATGGTTGCTTTATATGATGAACATATTTAATTTAGGATTTTATGCACACATAAACATTGATGAACACATACAGAGCATATCAAATATGGTCAGTGTATGAGAATAAACCTCATTGGATCTCACATCAAGCAATCACATTTGAGCTTCAGAAGACTTGGGTTAGAAGTTTGGGACAACATGAGGATGAGTAAATGATAACAGCATTTTCATTTTGAGTGAAATATCCTTGTATCCATGTTCTGCATACGTCTGTCTGTGTATGTGTATATACACTCTAAAAAAATACTGTTTTTTTTTTTTTTACGCAAATGCTGGGTTCAGCCTTTTGGGTCATTTTATTAGGTTATTTTTAATATTTTATTATTTTTACCCAACTGTGCCAAACTGGTTAAAACTGGATACATCTATCAACGGTCATTTTGTGTTCTGTCCTGAGAGAAAACTTGACTGATAGGAAACTTCCTGAATGAAATTAAGGTTTGGATTACATTGTATTTCTTTCAAATTATTACTGTACAAATAGGAAAATGTCTGTAGTCTCACATTTTTACTTTTTTGTTTAAATGTATGTTGCAGCTAACATCTGCTTAGAACACTATCCTTCTACAAACACTGCATCCACTGGATCTACAAATGTGCGACCAGGGCTAAACACAATGCGACTTTGCTGTTATATGTAACAAAGTTTCTGTGCGCTCCACTGACTAAAATAGGAGCGATATTGATCCTGTGCTCGAGCGACGCAGCTGTGGCCGCGCTATGCGTTTGACAGGTTGAAACTTAAATGTCTGACAGACCAGATGGCATGAGGTAAAGCTGTTTTTGATGTAACTTATCAAACATGAATATATAAGATTGTCATTTACGAACTGGAACAGCCCACTGATAGCAGTTTTCTTCCCACAGATTCCTATTGGCTGCTCTTGCTGCTCCTGTCCCATCTTAAAACGTTTACTGAATGGTTACTGAGTATTTTATGACTGTAAAAGACTGAATTGCCATTGAATAAAAAATATTGTATATAAACTGTTCAGATTTTAGAGTACATTTTTATTATTTAAAATGAAAAATCATTCAATAGGTTAACTGACCCAATACTATGTCAAAAAAACAACCCAAAAGGGTTGCATTAAAAAAAGCATTTTTTAGAGTAACAAACCTCAACTTTGTATGAGGTCTCAGTGACCCAAGGACGAAGCTTGAAGTATGTACCTAAAATTGACGTAGCTGGATGATACTTAGGACTTTTTTGAAAATATTACATTATTTCTGTTTGGTGTATCGGAGCACCCAGTTGTAAAACATGAATCAGTCCAATTAATTTTTACATTCTACATTTTCCAGTACACACTCTACCTCTTCTACAAATTGATTTATTTTATTCTATTTTTCAGCAGTGTTTTTGATGAGGTCAAATTGAACCCAAACAGAAATAACATTAGCAGAATGGATACCAGTCACGTTTCTGAGAATGTTATGAGATACAGCTTCAATAATATGTAGCAACAAGGTTTTGACCAGAGGAACATATTACATGGATCAGAAGGGGAAATAGGATGTTTATTTAAAAAGTACTCCATTAAATGGTCTCAGACCATGATGTTTAATATGCTGCCAATCAATGGTGTTTCATGGAAGTCAAATTGCTACATTTTTGTGGTGATAAAGGTCCTTTTTCACCCACGTTTCTTCTTCAGGAGGTTCGTTTTACACTTGACAGGTGCGCAGGAGCCACTATCATGGAGATGGAGGGAGTGGGCAGCTGGCTAACTACTGAAGACCACACTTCCTGTGAAGTTACTGGCATCACACCAAATATGGACAAGTAAATCACTTCATTTATTTCTCTTTTCACACCAATGCATAATTGTTTAAAGTGTTAAAAAATATGGCCCTGATGGACCATTACAATTGGAGTGCTAAAGAAATCATTCTTCCGCCTTGATAGCAGGTCACAGAGGACAAGTCAATGAAACAATCATCACATACTCTTTCTCACTCTACATATGAGCCTCATGCCAGTTACTGACTCGATAATGTATTGAAACATTTACAATTACACAAATGTCTCAATCTAAAAGGTCAAATGAATTATCAGAGTTAATCTCTAGTGAAAAATGACCTCTCTATAGCATACAGCACATTATTAACTCATGTGGTAGAGAAGCAAAAGTGGCTAGGGTAACAACATCCTCTGATGCGATTTCAGGCATCTGAACGTGACACAGGTGCTTCAGCTAGGAGGAGTGAATGAGAACCTGCCATATATCTACCCTCAACTACAACACAAGCACTTTACTGGCTGTATCCGAAACCTCGTTGTGGACAGCAAGGTGAGGAAATGCATGCATATCAGTACAAACAGAGATGCATCTTTGATAGAGTGAGGAAAGATGAAAACAGTGATAGAGTGAGGGAAGAAGAAAAGATAAAGAAGCTTTATTATGCACATCACAATTATGACTTTGACTGGTGTACGAGAGTTTTTCTCTCTGGTTGTTCTTGGTCTGGAGGTGACAAAAGCCTATTTTATGAATTCATCAATGCTGATAGCAGTTGTGCTTCTTAAACTCCTTGTGGAAACCAAGCTTAATTTTTTCAGGATTCTTGACGATGAACAGAAAGTTCAAAATGACTAAGAACCTTTGACTGAATGGTTCTTTGTGGAACCAAAAATGGTTCTTCTATGGCATCGCTTGAAGAACCTTTTGAAGCACCTTTATTTTTAAGAGTGTACACGCAAAAAAACTGAAAAATTTTGATTTTCATCGAATTTGAGTTTGTTCACAAAATTAGTTCATTAAGCTCTCGAATAGTGATCCCAATGCTCCAAATAGTAATTACACACAATTATCTTTATTTGTACTTTTTCTGAGGGGAGTACCTTTTCTCTGCTCCCTTCTCGCCCGCATAAAAGGTGCTTCTGGCAGTGCGCAATCCAGATAAATATACATATACAGTATACACAGAATTAAAGTTTTTAAGTATTCATGCAAACATAATATGTTATCTCTTTAGTGAACCTTTTGGGGAAATGTTGGGGAAAAACATCTGATGTGTAACATTATATTAGATCCGTGCATTATAGTAGGTCTTGATATAGGCCATCTGTTGCATTAATGTTAATCTAACAATAAAAGAAAAGAGGAATCACTCACTGCTCTTGATTGAACTGCTTTTGTAGTTTAATTATCAGTGTATTTGTAATGAACACACTAAAGGGAGTTTTACATTTGATTATTAGTTTTTCTTACTTGAATGCCTTTGTTTAGATGTTAAATGAAAAAGGTAATGCATTCTTTGCTTTTCTTATATTTGTTCTACTGTTGTTTTTTTGCATCTGTTTTTATAATAACACAGATAAAATAAAATTTATAATATCTATAATAACAAAGATAAAAAATACATATATTGTGATTATTAATATAGTAATTATTATTAAGAAAAGAACTGGAGGAAAAGATACAATGTTGCTAGGAGATTTTGCTTTGGAACATTCAGAAAACTTTAACTTGATTTTTCTCAAAATTGAGTTTGCTGACTCTATCAACTTCAAACAGGTGTAGCTCAGTCATTTTTTTGTCTGATTCCAACAAATCATACATAATTTTGAAGGTCTTTTAATTGACAATGTGAAAATAGAAATAACTCATTTTTGAAAATTTGCTCATTGTGACTCATTTTGTCAGCACTAGTCACAAATATACCAGCCATAGATATTGCTAATACATGTCCCAGCGTAGTTCTGTCAGTATATGTACTTTTAACTATTTAGCTGCTAAATGAGATTTGATTATAAGCTGTGTACTGCCTAGTTCACACTTTCTCTTTCCAAGAAGTGTTATTTGAAGTGAGGTATAATCGACCGTGCCACTGGCCATAGTCTTAAGCCGATCTGTGATCTCACTCCACGTTATGTCAAGGTTTGTTACAGTGGGTGACTGTTTGTTTCTCATTTTAACATCATGACTCAGTTGAAGGTTCTTGAGTCTAAAACACTTAACCAGTGGTCGTCAGACACAAAGAAACAGCACAGAAGTGTTAACTTAGGCTACTGTGGCTTGCCTAGAAAGCAGGTCATAGACTGTTAGAGGAGGAAGGACAGAGGTAGAATTGCTATTTTAGACTCTCTTCTGCCCTCTTTCTTTTCTCAAATAGTTTACTTCCTCTTGCTCTCTCCCTGTTGTTGACCTGTAAGAATTCTGAGTAGGCTTTTTTGGTGGCAAATACACAGTGTTATGGGGTGCATGGCAAAGTGGTTTTAAGATTTAAGGATATTATGCCATTTACTTAGCCACTTTGGGAGGTACATGCAGGGAACTACAGTACGTTACTTAAAGGTCACACAGGTTTGCTTGAGCCGTGAAATCATAAAAGAGAAAGTACAGTCCTTTATTAAAACCAGACTTAAGCAAGAGAATAAACCAAACTCTTAACCTTACAGTGAAAAGACCGACCTTTCAGAGGTGTACACAAAAAAAAAAAAACACAGCAAATTACTATGAAATAACTATGAAAAAGCAATAACTATGAAAAAGTCACACTAGTGTCACTTCTCGGGAGGCAAGGAGCGAGGAACGAGGAAACAAGGAGATAACTTCAATTCACAGTCTTTACTGATCACACGGGGAACGTAGGAGACACTGGAACACAAGGAATGACCCGTAGCAGGAAGAGCACAGCAGGACCCAGGCCACAGCCATAACAGCGGCCCACGGTGGAGCCGGCTGAGGGAGGAGCCATGGAGGAGGAATGGCCACCGACTCCAGGGGGCCGACCAACGGTGGCGAAGCAGGTGGTGGAGGATCCCGAGGCGGAGACGGAGAGCCAACGAGCCAGGGGGATGCCGAGGATCCGGGGGGCCAGGGTGGA